ACGAATTTAGCTTCCAACTGTCGTTGGAGGTCCCGACACTCTTCAGTTGATTGTCCTTTTCGATCGTGATAAGAGCGGTGTTTGTTCTCATCGTAGCCTTTTGACCAGGGGGTTTTGATTGTCCTTCCTCGACAGCATAAGAATGTTCTCCCTGGGTCTGATTATTCCGGGAGCACCCTTTTCTAGAGGATCCCTTCGGGTGATTCTGGGATTTCTTATAGATTTTATCCAGTGCAGCTGTTTCCTCCTCCAAGGTAATGTATCTCGATGCTTTGTGAAGAGCATCATCGATAGTTGGGGGAGGGTTAAGCGTTAACTCGGACTAGAATTCTGATTTGTACCAGAGGCCTCTTCTAAGGGCTTCGATGGCAACTTGATCGTTGGAGTTCGAGAGCTAAGTTCTGACTGCTCTGAATTTCTCGATGTAGATTCGTAACGAATCTCCCATTCCTTGTTTGATTTTCCAGAGGTCAGCCTCGGAAGCTTGCTTGAGGATATGGGTCGAATACTGCTTCATAAAGGCATTAGTCAGCTGGTCGAAATTGTCTATTGAGTTCGGCTCGAGGCCGGAAAACCATTCGAGAGTTGTTCCGACCAAGTTTTCGGCGAATGTTCTGCAGTAACATGCGTCCTTCCTTTCTCGTAAAATGAGCATTCACGATAGCTAATCGGAAGACTCTCAAATGAGCCTTAGGATCTGAGGTCCCATCATACTCGGGAATCCTAATTTTCTGGGTATCTCTTATGTAAGAGCTAGCGATTCTGTCCGTGAATGGGGTTCCACGGGTTTCCTCAATCAAACTCTCAATTTCGAGAGCTGAGCTCGTCGCTTTGTGAGCTTGAGCATTCAACTTTTGGAAAGCTGCATGATTTTGCTCCATATATTTGCGAATAGCCTTAGGTCCCTCTAGAGGAAGGACAATTGGGTCATTATTAGGTACCTGACAGACAGGTTCCTGACGGAGTCGAGGTTGGTCATTCTTCCAGGTAGCCGCCTGGCTAAATTGCTCACTAGCTCTTGGGTTGTTTTGATGAGTGTCACCAGTGGGGTGAGCTGCGAGGTCAGTTCCCGCCCATTAATGAGCGCCCTGATTCAGGGTTACATTCCCAGTCCGATAAGCCAAAGCCGGTTTTCTGCCCCCAGAAGGAAAGGATGTTCCTTCTCCGGACCTGAAAACAGGTGGAGGAGGTGGCAAACGTGTGCTCTGGTCAGTAACCCGATCGAGCATAGAGCTGGTTGTCGCTACGTTACTTCCCATAGCGCTAGTTACAGGTGGCTTAAATACGGGAGCTGTTCCAGCATAGGGTGTCTGGAGAAGAGGTCCCTGCCTATCTGGAGAACATGTCCATGTCGCTACGTTACTTCCCATAGCGCTAGTTACAGGTGGCTTAAATGCGGGAGCTGTTCCAGCATAGGGTGTCTGGAGAACAGGTCCCTGCCTATCTGGAGAACAGGTCCATGCCTATATGGAGAACAGGTCCCTGTCGCTACGTTACTTCCCATAGCGCTAGTTACAAGTGGCTTAAATGCGGGAGCTGTTCCAGCATAGGGTGTCTGGTAGGGGTGGGCACAATTACTTGTTACTCGGCTTGTACTCGCTACTTGATTCGTACTTGGCTCTTAAAATCGAGTACTCGTTTTGTCCAAGTCGAATATCAAGTCGTTTGTTTCAATTACTTGCAAGTACAAGACAAGTACCAAGTACTAAAATAAAAATAACTACTTGGCGTTGTTGGCTTGTTACTCGTGATTTATTACTTGATTTATTACCCGTTTTTTATTTTTAGACAAACAAATCTCTAAATTATAATCAAATTACTTGTTTATAAAACAAATAAATTAAAAGTGATATATTATAGAAATATTTTAAAGTTTTCTTTTAATTTTATATTTATCATATATCCATTTAAAAACATATGAAAAGTAAATAGATATTCTTTATTAAAAATTGTTTAGATTATAATTATAACTAACTAAATGTTTTTAAATTCATATACAAGATTTAAGTAGCAAACGTTAACAAACTTTTATTAAATAATTATATAATCATTTATAAATTAGTTGAGATGCAACAGGTAGTAAAACGGAGCAAGTACTTGCAAGTATACCATTTTTAGCAAGTACTTGAAAGTGCAAGTACTCGTTTTTAATAAACCAAGTACAAGTCCAAAATTTTATTACTCGAACAAGCCAAGCCAAGTACCAAGTAAGCCAAAAATGGCAAGTACTTGGCTTGTGCCCACCCCTAGTGTCTGGAGAACAGGTCCGTGCCTATCTGGAGCAGTGCTCTTCAAATCATCGCTGCTGAGCAGTTAGCTGTTGCAACGTGCGCTCATTCTCTTGAGCTCTGTCTACTAACTGCACCATCATTCGACGGGTCTCAGATAGCTGAGCCTCCGATTGATTCGGAGCAGGTTGACATTGAGGGTTCTCGGGGGCTGTTACCCCGTAGCTGTTTCCACTGGAGGACCTTGGGTTAGTTATTCCAGTGGTGGTCAGGTTCGGTTGAGCACTAGCCGGAGGCTGTTGCTCAGATCGGTGATCGGCGTGTCGAGGCTCCGGGACCTGGAGACTGGAGTCTCTTCCGTTTGGTGAGCCGTCGATCTGGATCACGGGGTCGGGGATATATGGTTTCGTTGCTTGGTTGGATGGATCCATTCTCAAGTTACAGGGTAAGGGATTCGATTATCTCGTCCCCACAGTCGGCGCCAAAATGTAAGGGGTAAAACTCACTCTCTAGTTTAGGTTAGGTTTAGATTGGGGAAAAGACAATCGTGGGCTGAATCCCGTTAGAACTTGTATGAATGAATACGTTTGTTTATATTGATTTTGATAAGAAAATGAGTTTACAAAGATGAACTTGATGATCAGAAGTACAAAGATGAATTGAGATGATTACAATGAAGGAAAAGTGTTTAAGTCTTTAGGTCTAAAGATGAGTCGAGCCAGAGGATCCTTTTCTCTGATCTCCTCCTCCATTAAATAGCTCTCAGCCACGTTTGAACGACCCTAACCAGCCTCCGAGATTTGCTCCGTGAGTTGGGGGATTCTCAACAGCCTCTTTTTGACCGGGTCCTGCGCAACCAGCATGAGCTACTCCTGTTAGCTCTTTCTAAATGAGGTCCGGAGCTCTCCTCCGTGACCTGTTTTGTTGACGTCCCTTCCTTAGCAAACAGCCTCCGGCTTCTTTTTAACTCTTTTCTCAAAAGATTAATTGCCAATGGGCTTACAGTGGCCCATAGTCAACTCTTATCGCTCGAGCCCATTAGTCTCAGCTAGCGGGCCATATTTGGGCCCAACAAACCCCTTTGACGGAGAAGGCACTGGATTTTTTAGAAAAATATTCATAAGGATTTAATAAAGGAAAAGTAGTTTTTAGTAGTTTATCTCCTGGAATATATTCAATTTCATATAGTGAATTTATATTAGAGGAGGAAGATGAAGAACGGCTTTTAGATTTATTAAGAGTAGAAATAGCAAATTGGGAATCGAGTGCTTGAGGAATCGAATTAGACATTGTAAAAAGTGTTTTCTAGAATTTTTAAAATAACCAATCATAAACAAAGATTCTATCAACTACTACGCAAGTCTGGACAGTAGGCTCTGCTACCATTTTGCACAGCAATGAGCAATTGTCGTATTGACAAAATCGTGTTGACAAATGAGAGTTTGTAATTTCCAGGTAAAATGAGCGATATGGCCACCTACTCAGAGCTCTTGAGTTGCTCAACCACTGTTAGGAATTTATTTCTCCCTAGGAAAATCGTGTTGACAGAATCGTATTGACAGATCTACTCAAGTTAAAGAATAGCAAGTGGCATGATCGGAACTTGCGAAAAGAGGATAGAAATCTAAGCTTATAAGAAATAGAGTTAAGTTATGAAAAACTAGAGAGAATTTAAGGAGACATTGTAGAGAGATAAACAAGTGAGAGATTTTTGATGAAATTATTTGATAACCAATTATTAAGGAAATAATCAGGGCTTCTTCATTCACAAAGGAACTAGGTGTTTTGCCCGCACATACGAGCATAATTTTCATACTATTTATTATTAATCTATATTTTATTACTTCAAACCAATATAATAAGTTATGATTTATGTTTTAAAATTAATTATAAATGACAACACTCACATAACAAAATATTTTTAAAAATATATTTTTACAAATGTGCTGCTTTAATTTATTTTAATTATAATTTTTTCTTTCTTTAATTTTTTTATTTCTATAATAAAAAATATATTTTCAAGATAACAATATAATACATAAGAAGTATCTTATTTTCTCAAAATATAATTTTTAATAGAAATTCATTTTTATTTTATAATAAATTTTATATAAAATTATTAAAAATATGAAAAATAATCAAAATTATCTAAATCATGGAAAAATTAAAAATCAGATAATTCACTTAAATTTTCTAATAGAAAATATATGTTCAAGATAACAATCTGATACATAAGAGTTATCTTATCTTTTTAAAATTTAATATTATTATATACATTCGTTTTATTATTTAATAAATTATATATGAAATTATTAAATTATGATAAATAAGCAAAGTATAAAACAATGGAGAAGTTGATAAATCAGCATTGTTTTCTTTATATTTAACTATTAATATTTTAACTTAATTTTTAATTTCTATGATAAAAAAATATATTTTAAAGATAACAATATAATACATAAGAATTATCTTATTTTCTAAAAGTATAATATTATTAATAGAAATTCGTTTTTATTAAATAATAAATTGTCTATGAAATTATTTAAATAAGATAAATAAACAAATTTATCTAAAATCAAGGAGAAGTTGACAACTAAGCAAATTTACTTCTTATATAATAGTATAGATAGATAGTACCACACATCTTTTCTTTGTGCTCAAGAAAAAATAAACTCTCGCAGACTACAAGTTACACCATACACATACCCGCAGGGGATAAAAACAAAATATCTTTTATAAGGCCTAGATAGTTACTTTCAAGTTGCGACCTGCCCTTTCTCTTATTTAAGCTCACTAAACCCTTGCCGTCCTCTCTAAAACCCTAATTCTCATATTAAGGGTTTTCTCTTGTCAAACATTTTCATCCTCATCTCTCACTTCCCCCCCTCTAGATCTGAAAATGATGAGCACAGTTCTCCGCCGATCTGTCCTTGCCACGTCAAGGCGGACTCAGGCTCTCACCTCCCTCAACGCCGCTCTATTCCACCACCTCACTCCATCCTCCGCCGCTACGGCCGACGCAGTCTCCGATCTAGCCGCAAATGTCACTCCCCCTCAGACGACGAACCCGTTTGGTGTTAAAGCTAGAAACTTTCATTTCCAATCCAGACCCTCCCAGTTCCGAGCATCGATTGCTTCTCCTGCGGGTTTCGCGGCTCAAAGTGTCGCACCTTCGTACGAGAGTAGCGACGGAGGAGATTCAGAGAGTGTTGGTACGAGTGATGGGTTAGCCATATCTGATCTTGGGATATCTCCTGAGATCGTTAAAGCTTTGAGTGGTAGAGGAATCGATAAACTCTTTCCTATTCAGGTATGCTTGCTCGTCTTTCTCCAATCATTATCAATTAAAAAAGTTGTCTGCTTTTTCACTGAGTTGTTTGGTTTTATTAGAAAGCTGTGCTTGAGCCAGCGATGCAAGGTCGGGACATGATTGGTCGTGCTAGGACAGGAACAGGAAAGACTCTTGCTTTTGGGATTCCCGTTATCGATAAAATCATCAAATACAACGCCAAACACGGGTTTGCTTATTCCCTTGATATGTTTACAGTCTCTCTTTTTGCCTCTTTATGTAGCCTTTGATGTGTGGTTGTTACAGGCGTGGGAAGAACCCTCTTTGTTTGGTTCTTGCTCCGACAAGAGAGCTTGCTCGTCAGGTTGAGAAGGAGTTCAGGGAATCTGCTCCAAGTTTGGACACCATCTGTCTCTACGGAGGTACACCGATCGGACAGCAGATGAGGGAGCTTAGCTATGGTGTCGATGTAGCGGTTGGGACTCCGGGTCGTATCATTGATCTAATGAAAAGGGGAACTTTGAATCTCTCAGAGGTTCAGTTTATTGTTCTTGACGAAGCTGATCAGATGCTTCAGGTTGGATTTGCCGAGGATGTTGAAATTATATTGCAGAAGTTACCTGAGAAGCGTCAGAGCATGATGTTTTCCGCTACAATGCCGAGTTGGATCAGATCTCTCACCAAGAAGTATCTGAACAATCCTTTGACTATTGATCTTGTGAGTAATCTTTTACTGTTTGTGAATATATTTATCTTGGGGGTTAGTTGAGTTGTTAGTTAATGAGGTGATGATTGTGTGTGTTTTTAGGTTGGAGATTCTGATCAGAAACTTGCAGATGGGATCACAATGTACTCTATCTCAGCAGATTCTTATGGAAAAGCATCCATTATTGGACCTCTTGTAGAGGTATGTGATTTTTCTTGTTATTTATCAGTCATGTTCATATATGGCAAGGCTTTATAGTACTTTTTTTTTTCCTTTGCAGGCGCATGGAAAAGGAGGAAAATGCATTGTTTTTACACAAACGAAACGTGATGCGGATCGCCTTTCATATGGATTGGCGAAAACCTTCAAATGCGAAGCTTTACACGGTGACATATCCCAGAGCCAGAGAGAAAGAACGCTTGCTGGTTTCAGGGATGGGAACTTCAACATCCTTGTTGCAACTGATGTTGCTGCCCGTGGACTTGATGTGCCTAACGTCGATTTGGTGAGTCAGAACTACACTCTCTTTCTTGTTCTTAACTTGTCTCTTATCTTATTAACACAATATTTTTTGATTGTGTGATTAGGTAATTCATTATGAGCTTCCTAACAACACTGAGACGTTTGTTCACCGAACGGGGAGAACGGGTCGTGCTGGAAAGAAAGGGAATGCGATTCTTATCCACGGTCCGGAGCAATCAAGGGCTGTTAAAATGATTGAGAGAGAAGTGGGAAGTAAATTCACTGAGGTAATAATCTATGAGACTATTACTTATCTTCGTTTGTTTCTTCTGCTTACACTGCTTGGTCTTGGGGTGAATGCAGCTTCCTAGCATTCCTGTGGAACGTGGAAGCGGAAGCATGTTTGAAGGAATAGGTGGTCGATCTGGTGGATCCTACGGAGGAGGGATGAGGGATCGCAGTTCAAGCTATGGTGGTCGTTCAGGTGGTTATGGTGGTGGTGGTGGTGGTAGTGGTAGATATGGTGGTGATCGTGCAGGAGGATCAGACCGTTCAAACCGTTCTTCTGGTTACGGTGGATTTGGTGGTTCAGGAGGTTCAGACCGTTCATCAGGTTTTGGGGGATTTGGTTCAGACCGTTCTTCACAGTCAAGTGGAAGGAGCAGCTTTGGTGGGTTTGGATTAAAGGATCCTAACAGATCTTACTGAGAAGTAGTCTTGCGTGAGTTATTGATCCGACCAGGCAATAATGGAGGACGTGGTGACTCGAGTAGAGAGTTTAGTTACAATGAGTCAAAGCTATATATAAATCTGTAGCTCCCTGCCTCATAAACAAACATATTTTTTTTTTGAAGTTATTTCATCATATTCCCTAATTTTATTTTCTACATCGGTAGAAGAATTTGTTCCTTTGTATTTGTATTTGGCCACTTCCATAAACTTAAACGATTCTGTCGTCCAACAGAAAGCGAAAAGTATGAACCCAAATCAACACTTGTGATTTAACTTAATCTTGTTAGGTTATCAACTTTTCCAACGGTGACCAAAAGGAACAGTCTGAACCATACAAATGGGGAACATCACCATTATATTAGATCTAATACTAGGTGAACGAAACTAAAAGGTAATCGAAAATTTTCAATTTTACATCTTAAGTATCTAACAAAGAACATTGTCAACTTATCTCAATGGTGAGCCAGAAAAACGGTCTCAACCATTAAATAATCGCAAGTGCTCACGAGAACTTGCCCATTGCACGCTAACTGCACGTGAAGATTCTTGCATCTGACAAAGAACATTGTCAACAATTTGCTACAAAGCAATTATCATAGGTTGCACAACTCTTAAGTGTTCCACCCTAAAATTAACAAAAGCTATTTGCTTATACAACATAACGATAGGTAACGTAACGACCAGCGGTTTCACTGGGACGTATGATCTTCACGACTTGGCCACGTGTTAATCCAAAGTATCTTGCGATTGGATCAGTCACTTGAATCCTCGGAAGCTACACACACACACACCCACAAGGTTCAAAACTTTTAATCACCAAAAGTTTATCACCAAGAAACACTGATCCGGAACAGGAAAGAGCTACTAACCTGCGTCTCCTTGACAGTGTATCTCTCAAGTAAAGTTTTCTTCTCTTCAGTGGTGAGAACTTGGTGCTCCGGAACAAGAACATGTTCTTTAATGTTCACAAGCATTTCCCCCTCCTGCACCACACCAAACAACATTAACATGGTTAAAGATTGTGATGTTTATATATCATAAGGCGAAACAAAACCGAACCTGTGTGTTAATTACCTGGAAGACTTCCAGATGAAATTTGGAAGAGATCTGACTAATGCAAGTACGAGCAAAAGGAGTCAAGTTCTGCTGCACCACCAATATGGCTCTGTAAACATTCTCTGACTTCATCCGGTTTGTGTACACTTTCATTGTATTAACTCCAACTTTCGCCTCATCAGGAAAGAAGATATACAGCTACAACATCATACGGTAAGCATATATCACACAATCTTGCTCTATGTTTTTGACAATTACCCAATATGCAAATGGCAACAAGACAAAAAAAAAAAAAAAAAAACTTAACGTACAAATACCATTAATTCCACAGGCTCTTACAGTAATCATATGTTTCATCTCTACTTACTTTAGTGAAAGCTTCTCTACACGTAATCACATGTTGTCTCATAATGAATCACACTAATTAAATGTCTCCCAGCCATACCTGATCACTGCTATCATTCCTCTTAGCTTTGAGAGTAACAAGATCCTCTCTTTTCATGTTATCTCCAAACTTCCTTACGAACTGTGATAGGTTCATCGTGATTTCAGAATCAGCGATAAAGTAGCCACGGTCCTTGAGCATCTGCATCAACGTCTTCTGGATTCTGTGCAGTCTTTTGATCTCTTCTTCCGTTAGTCCCATCGTCTGTCAATAAAAAATTCAAGAATTTGACGGGAATAATTTAGGGTTACACCAATCTCGTAGCTTTGAGATAGATACAAAGCTAGGCTAGGTCATTGGAAAGAGAGAGAAAATTTAATGAAAATAGATAAACAAATCCTACGTTGAACGATTAAGCCGCGAGAGAAGATTGAATAAGCGATTTACAGAGAGAGAGAGAGAGACGAGGAAGACGAAGCGGCTCTCAATCTTTCCTTCAAATCTCCAAACCTTTTTTAATTCGACTAAATAAAATATTTATAGCATATGAAGCTCAGTTAGGCTTCTCCGTACTTAAATGGGCCTATTTCGTGGCCCACGGTCTATAATTTGGGTCACCCGACCCGCTACCTCTAACGTAAACTCTTTCCTAACCCGAACTGTTATTGACTATATGTTAAAGCACTACATCATGTTCACCCGTCAGGGAGGCACCGCCTCCGACCTCTGTAAGATGTCGCAAACTTTCGGACAAAGCCTCAAAGAATTTATGGGAAAGTTCAAAACTTTGGCCTCCAAAATAAATGTCGTAGACAACATAGCAGTCAAAGCTCTCCAGAACGCACTGTACGTTCATTCACCTTTTCGACAAGATCTCTACCGAAGTCCGACCACCTCTCTAGAGGATGCTATTGCCCGCTCTCACAATTTCATCCGCATGGAAGAAGATACTCGGACGATACTTAACAAACGAAACTCGGACAAATCGGAGACAACAAAGAATCACGACTCCCGACAAGACACACGCCAAGAGCCTCGTCAACACTCCACGGGAGATCGTAACGATCGTAAGAAAAGGTACATCTATCATGTTGATGGAGACGAATCTCCCCCGTCCACTGTCGTAGTTCGGAGAAAAGGCTGGAACCATTACTAGCGTGAGGAAGACAGCGCTAAGTCACCATCTGGGTCTAGATCCCCGCGTAAAAACGAAAAAAAAAAAAATTCTGCAAGTACCACAACAACAAGAGTCATGATACCAAAGATTGCAGACACCTAGGCGAGCACCTCATCGCAAAGTACGCGGCCGGGCAGATCGACGCTGAGCCTCCAAGTTATCCTCGCTTCGAGAGAGGTGTCGTCCGACGACGACAATGGACTTGATGACCTCCGAACACACCTTAATTCTCGACGCGGGTTACTGACCTTCGGGATGCACTGAACTCCAGGAAAGCACGGAAGCTAGGCGACCCTAGCACCATACCGACTATGGACCCTCGTTACGGACCGACAGAACTCCGACATCACCTCAAATCCAACGTCGTAGATCTTCGACACGCGCTAGATAGACTGAAGACGCCGAACTTACGCCGTATACTCAACATGAAGAAGGCACTCAACACTGGTGTCGTCCATTCTCCCGAGGAAAAGGCGCCCGACACCCGCTTAAACGTTATCATGGGTGGCTCCCCTCCATGTGGAGATACAGTACGATCAGTAAAAGCTCATCAGCGTCAAGCTGTCACTTCCAAGAAATGGCCGCCCAAGCCGGAAGATAGTCCTCATATTACCTTTTCCCCCGCGGATGTTGTTGGTGTCCACATGCCCCATAACGACCCATTGCTGGTGGAAGTCGGGATCGGTGTCTGCGAAGTCGAAAGTCCACATCGATACGGGTAGCTCGGTCGACCTCATTTTCCTCAATACTCTGGAAAAATGGACGTTGATATCCTATAGATGAAACCCTCTAACCGGACACTCACGGGTTTCAACGTGATCTCCGAGGAAAGGATAGGAACAATCCGTTTCCCCGTGTATGCTGGCGGAGTAATGAAGGCCGTAAAGTTCTCAGTAATCAAAACCGTCGCACCTTACCACGTCATACTCGGGACTCCTTGGCTCTATTCGATGAAGGCGATCTCGTCCACCTTGAACCAATGCGTCAAATTCCCAGGAAATGATGGTCGAATCCGTACACTACGGGGTGATCAGCAGACGGCTCGTGAAATTTTGGTCGCTGCTGTGAAGCTCCGACAAGAAAATTCCCATGTCAACATCGTGGCAAAGCCCGTTCACAAAATTTACCTACATAAGGAAGAAATCACCAAGGTTCCTCTCCACGAGAGTGACCCGAGCAAGATAGTCCGTGTAGGAGCCTACCTAATGGATGAAATGAAGGAACGCATCATCGCCTTTCTCAGACAAAACGTTTCCACGTTTGCCTGGGCGACCTCCGATATGAAGGGTATTGTGAGGGGTAAAACTCACTCTCTAATTTAGGTTAGGTTTAGGTTGGGAAAAAGACGATCGTGGGCTGAATCCTTTTAGAACTTAAAGAATGAATATGATTGTATTTGATGAATAATGGTTACAAAGACGATTGAAACGAATACAAGGAAATCAATGAACGATTTGTGAGTGATAATGTATGTGTAAATTTGTAAAAAGCGTGAATCCCCTTCTCTTAATTTCTCCCTCCTTTAAATAGCCTCAGGTCACGTTTAACCTCTTCTGATTAGTCTCAGAGATCGCCTCCGTAAACTGAGGGATTTGCAACAACTTCCTTTTGACCGAATCATACGCCTCTATCTTCGTATCCTAGGCTGTTTTATTAGGTTCATGCGAGAGAAGCCGGACCTCTTCTTCGTGACCTCTTTCTCGTGGCCTCTTTTATCGAAATCCTTGGAAGTAGCCTCCTTCCTTAGGTGAGCTCCATTCTCCTTTGAAATGATAATTCACGTGTGGCCCATTATTAGGCTTAATTTGATTGATCCGCTAATTTCAGCTAATGGGCCATATTTGGGCCCAACAGTTGCCCCCAGCTTTCGAGAAAAGATACTTTTCTCGGGAGCTAGACCTAGCCGCCGAATCTTAATTTTTCGTTGAGATAATGATTACTCGTGATCTTCTCTCGAGGATATCTTTTACTTGATCCGACGGATACGATTAAACTTAACGAAATAAACGACTCAGATTAAAAGGATTTTGAAATAATTATCCTACGATTCTCGAGGCTTGATGGGATATAAAGCTGTTTACATTAACTCCAACTTCCCCACTCTCTCCACGTCTCGATTCAGTTTCCCCAGGTAACTCCTTCTGGTTCTTTTTATTTTACTGTTTTTTTTACAGCCTTTTTCTTTAAGTTCGAAACGAGGTTCGAAACGAGGTTCGAGTAGATTCTCTCTAAAGTTTTACTCCGCGAATTCTAGTTTATCAGTTCCAGTTTCTTTATATTTTTCTCGATCTCTTTTCTTTGTTCCCTGTTATGGCTGGACCGAAAGAAGGCTCTGGTGAAACCGGAATTTCTGCCACCCGGTGCTCGAATTATGAAGGTGAAACAAGAGGTGGGTGAGTCCATGAAGAAGGATGATAAGAGGAAGAAAGCTTAAGAATCGATAGCTCAGAGAGTTTCCAAACGAACCAAAAGGACCGGTGGTTCCGGTGAGAATCTACCCTCCGGATCCCACTCGCCTTCGGCGTTGAGGAGTCAAGAGGTAGTTAACCTTATGGTCCAGGCTCTGGGTCGTAAGGAATTAGCTAGGGCTTGTGATGATCACGAAACCCCCGAGACGACCCCAGAAGGCTGGTTCTGTGTTCACGAGAAGTACATATCTAAGAGCCCTCTTAGATTTCCTCTCCCTGACCTTCTACTAGATCTCCTTGATCACTACCAACTAGCCCTTCCCCAGTTTTGTCATTCTGTTATCAGGGTGATAAACGGTTTCCTTACTTGGTCCAAAGAGGAAGGAGTCGCTGTTGGGGTTAACGATTTGATGAGCCTCTTTTCGATAAAGGAAAGTGCTTCGAAAGAGGGAGCTAGCGGGACCTATTATCTCGCGAGTCGTCCCAGGTTAGGTATCTTTAAGTTTTCCAGCAGCGATGACGATTGGCGGAAGAAGTATTTTTATGTGAAGATTGACCCTTCGACGGTTCCTGTGGGTCGTGCCCTTAGGACCGTTTGGTCTGATGCTTCTGGTTAGGATTACTAGGATTGCATTCATATACTTCTATTTGTAGTATCCTGATGTGTGCCTTGTATCATTTACAGATATTGAAGATCCTCCTATGCTTAGTGGCAAGCTTACCAGGGCTCTCTTTCGGAAGTTACAGCAAACTCTGTGCACCTGGGCGTCGTACACTACCTCTCGAATAGGTGCGGCCAGGTTTCCAGATCGATATCACGCTTCTTTCTTAACTCCAATCCCTATTGTGGAGTTAGAAGGTAATATGCTAATCCTTTTTATACATGTGAGTTCGTTTGTCAAGATATTTGATTGTTAAAGAAATTCGTAAATGCAGTTTCTGAGGGTAATACGGTAGTGTCGATCTCGACGGAAGCTAGTACCTCCGGAACTGAGAAAACTCAGTCAGTCAAGATGCCTCTCCAACCATCATTCCGATCCAGGGGTAGACCAGTGAAAACTGCCGGCACCTCACGAGGAAGCGAGAAGAATCAGGGGGGATCTTTCCTCAGCTCTGTGAAAGAGGTCCTCGATGATGGAGCTTCCGTTCCAGTTAAGGATGCTGATACTATGGAAGCTGAGGGAGGTCAGGAGATAGTTCCTCGTTCTGCAGCTCAGGTTACGGAAATCGATCCTCATGTGACCAAGGATCCTTCCGAGACTGAGCCTCCTAAGAATAAGAGGTTACGTGCCGATCAAGGTGACAGACCATCCAGGCCCTCCTCTTCTTCCTCGAGTGGAGGGACCGTTGGATGGAATTTCGCCCACTCAATGCCTGGATCCATTCTTGATGACCCTTGGGGCTTAGCGACGCTAATGAGGCATATGAAGCAGACAGGGTGCTCTCTTCCTCCGGTTAGCAATTTGACTAACAGGGATGAGTTTATCGAGATCGCTCATTACATGGGTCAGGTAAGGGTTTTTATCCTCCTTTTGCTGCTTTTTCTTAGATGGATACTTATCTAATTGTCTGTTTTTCTGTAGTTGGCTGGAGCTATTAACAAGGCTCAGCTAAGGTTTGAAGAAACAGTGTGTGGTGCTCCTAATGCCGAGGAGCTTGCCCAGGTTACCGAGATG